ACCGGAAGACATAGAGCAAGCAGCAAAAAGCGTACACAGGACGCAAACAATGGCGCTCGCGTGTAGACGCACACACACTTGCCCTTTGCGAGAGGAGCACGAAACAGACTTGGAACAGCCACAAATCCAGGAAATCCACTTTAAACTTACACGCTTACAGAATCAAGGAGGCAAACTAAATTTATTTACTGCACCCAAACAAGGACCCATATGAGGAGGACTGCAAACAACAAAACGCAAGGAATCCACACGAATTCTGCAACAAAAACAACTTTTGAACCCAGAAATAATCAGAGGAACAGTTTAATTTATTTTTGGAATGATCAGTGCTTTCTGTGCTGGTTATAGGATGAAGCCTTCATTTCATTTCATTTTTCAATAAAATTTTTATTTTATATTTTTAATTTTTTCACATCACTCAACTTAAAAAAATGCCAGATGAAGAATGTAGCTTCCGGGTGCTGCCATATTGGAACTGTTCAGCTAAAGTTGTTTTGCATTTGTGTTTGTTTTTGCCCTAATTGTAATGAGCAACAGTGCCGGAAAGTAAAAAATATTTAAACTAAAATAAATATTAATCAATTATTAAATGTTCGCCATGTTGTTAAGTTTAGAGGAAGTGGACAAGTTTAACAACTGCAGTTCCATTTTTTGTGGGAGGAGTTTCATTTAGTAACTATACTCATATATGAGCTTCAATAGCAGAAAAAAACTACATTCTCTTTATAGAAACTAAGTGGAATTGAGGCTAAGTATGAATCCAAGAAAAAATCATAGGTTAAGTTAGTTTGGTGTGATAACCTTGTGTTGTTAAAAAAAATGATCAATCAGCTAAAATTTATTTTGTCGTTTTTGAAATGACTCCCATCGAGTGATATATATTTGCCATCAATTGATTACAACTTGTGTGGGCCTATTGAGTTATGTTTAGCCAAACTTTCTTAAACGGCAACAATCGATTGTAAACGCATTACCTTGGAGTGGTAGATTTAGCTGTGATAACCGAAATAGATCACTTATGGTCATATTATCTGAGTAGTGTGTTAGGTAAATTTAAATCATTAAGATTTTTTTATAAATACAATTTCACTATGATAATACTGGAATTTTTAGTTTAAGAATTATTGGTACTTACCTTCAAAATAATATTTTCTATAGACCCATAAAGATATCTCTTTAAATTTGCAGCCTAATGATATGCAATATAATTTCAAATATCACTTCATACATACTGCCAAATAATTTTGTTTATTTTAAAGCATACTTTGCGGCACCGAAATAAATAATATATTTAAATGATCTCAAAATATTGGCAAACTTACTGAAAACTTATTAAAAAATTTGAATTTTAAGGCTTAGTATAGGAATTGATTCGATTTTAAACTTATTGATATTAAATTAACTAAAAACTTATTATGCTACCTCCGATAAAGTAATTTTATATGATTTTTTAAGACACTAAATAAGGGATATAATAAATAATTAATTACTCAGATAAAACACATTTCGATTACATGTTTTCTTCGATTGAACTTTTCTTTGACACATTATATTCTAATTAACATCGAAGAAAAAACCAATTTCTTTTTTTAATCAAGGACTCATACTATGCATTTCCATCATTTAGCTAAGAAACATTAGTTAAAAACCTTTTATTATTTCGAATACGGTTCATCTATAGCTAGGTGAAATCTTATTTCTAATTCATGTAATATTCCTTTATATTCCTTTATGCAAAGTTTAAAAGAATTTTTTTTGTGAAAAATATTTGACTGAAAAAATATTTGAAAGAAAAAAATAAGTTTCATTAATATTTTGGAAAATTGCCCTCTTGTAAATTTTTTTTAACTTTATCTATACATTGCTTTGCTGAAAAAAGTATTTGTGATGAAAATGTCCGTCCATCATATAGAGTAATCAGTATGTGAAGCACAATTGTGCTGGGAGTATTGATGAAAAAAGCGATTTCTTTCATTTCTTGAAGCATAGAATTATCTCAGGAAATTAAATTAATGGACCTTTATATGAGATATCTTATGTATATACAATTTTTGCTACCAGAAATTGAATTGAAAGTGATGTGAAGACATTTAGTACTACCCACTGATAGGATTGAGTAGCGGAAGCGGTTGGATGCGGGTAAGGACGACTCACGTCTGTAATAGACAACTAAGAAAAGCAAAATATATGTAGTAAAATATACCATATAGTGTTAAAATTAATTTTATTATTGATTTTTACTTATTACTACCATATGGTAGCCTCCATGCTTGTCTCTATGTGTGCTTTAAAGATATGGTCTATTTTATTGACCGATATGAACTCGGTGTGCCGATCTGATATGTTGGTATTTCTATTCAAAATTCGTATATAGTCAGATAGCATTCTTTTAAACAACTCTGTTGTGCTGAAACGTGGTTTCTGTTTAATTGAAATCATTTTTCATGACGCAGGCTAGAACTAGCTTTCATTATCCGTTTATATGTAAAGTATTGCTTAAAAATGCAACAATTTTTAAAGTAGGATTTTTCATAATTGATATTAACTTTTTCGAGTATATATGAGGTTACTGCATATATATATATAAGGTTTATTGAACCTCTTCGGTGAAGACAATAAATTCGTTACTTCCAATATGAAGTATGGTCCTTAAATTTAAATATTCAATGCAACATTTAAAACGAAAATTTACAAATCATGCAAAACAGATGAAAATGTTGAGCACAGCATTTTACAGGAAAACTATTAAAGAAAATTGAAATAATAAATGCACAAGGCAGACCCACTCAGTCACTTACAAACATAAACAAACACATGCACGTACAGACGTAAAAAACACTTTAGGCATTTTTGAGGAAAGTCAAAAAGCAAGAAAGTTGAAAGCAATAAAAAAAAATGCATAAAAAAGAGTAAGGGAACAAAAACAGAAAACTAAAAACAAACATTGTTATCACCTCAACACAGCACGGAACAACATGGAAAGACAAAAATAATGGGAAGAAAAACAACAGCAATAACAATGGTAGCAAGAACGGCAACAGAGACAAGAGGAAGAAGGAAGGACTAAAGATGAAAATATCATCAAGAAAATATTTATACAAATAGGTTAACTTATAAGCACACTCCAGAACGCACATCAGCATACACAGACACTTATACATATGCATATATATGCAGACACAGACATGCTGACACAGAATAACACAAAATAACAAACATATTTTGTTAGTAACTTTTGTGAAATAAGGGCAAATATGGATTGAACTTCTTGGGGGAAGGAGTACAGATGATGTTGTGCATATGAATTTGCGTGTTTATTAATCGATGGATTTCCATATAAAATTCATTGCTGGCATAATGAAATGTAACTTTAGTTCAATAAAATGTCAACAGTATTTGTTGCTGTTGTATTTCTATGCACGAACTTGTCGGAAATTGTTGAAATAAAAAAGTGGGAGGAGGAGCATATATTCTCGCATTAGATTGTAACAATTTTTCAAACTGGCACAAGATCAATTTTTATAACATTGCATACCTTTAGGATGAGGAAAATTAGTACATCTAAAATTTCTTTGAAATTTGTTTTAATTACAAAAACTAAAAGTTATGTTTAATTGAATTTAATATAATTATTTTAATATCATTTAAATGTTCCTTATGTTGAAATCGATAAGCAAAAGGAGGAGCATATATGCTGATATTAAATTGTTGGAATTTTTATACTGGTGTAAGATAAATTTTTATAAAATTGCATACTTTCAGGATGTGGAAAATTAGTGCATTACTGTTATTTTATTGTTGAACAAAATAACATTAATAGAAAAAAATATCGGTTAATTTATTCAATGCAGAAGCTATTAGAGCAAGAAGTAAAATTAGAGTAGAACAAAATACAACCCAAGACATAATTCTGTAAACTTTCCCTGAACGCAGACTTCAGCATTATTAAAATAACTAACGTGGTGTTAATAAATCAAATTATTTTTAAAGCATAGTGTTATTCAAGAAATTAAAAGGTCTTGAATAAATAAACACACGTTTGTAACGTATTTGTTTATGTTGTTAATCAAGTTAACTCTTGATAGCGAAAAACAGTAAGTCAAGGGACTTACTCAGCCTCAAAATATTACGCGTAGCTTATAAAACCTAACACTGGTTATTTGGGCGACATACTCTGAGGTTAGAAGCCCTCTCCAATCAATATTACAAATGTTATGAAGATGTGGAGGAAGAAGTAGTGGAACACTTACCTATACACTTCCATTATATATAAAGACATGTTACTGAGGTGCAGGTGTTTCACGCTTTTATCTTTATTTTTTGACTTAGTTAAGATATTTAAACGATTTATGTTGCATTCTTCATAATACGATTGCCATTTTTGGTTGTGGTAAAGATTGTTGGTAAAATCTTTGTTTTTAATTTTGATTCATAGTCACCTATAGTAGTTGGCTCAAATATTGATAGAATATTTTTTCTTGTTTTTAATGGATGAAAAAAAAATAATAAGCTATTTTTGAATTTCTTACTATTAAAGAGACCAACAACTTTCGTACCAGATTTGTTATTTACGATATTTATTTATACGTATTATACGTACTCTTACTTCTAGTAAAAGTTATTGATGTTTAAATGTTTCATTTTTATATTTTATTTTAAGGTTATTTTTTTTTGCAGTATAGCATAAATACTCAGTATCTATTACTAAGCAAACAATATATGGAGAAATTAACTAATATTGGAAATAAGATAGAGAATCATTTATAATTTAGTCTCGTTGTACAGATGTATCTTTTATGTAATGAAAAATAATTTTTAATATTCATGCCATAATTTTCCCTTTGGATTAATTTTTTTTTTATATCTTGACAAAATTCTTTCGACAGGACTAAAAAAACTAAAATACTATTAAATTCAAATCAAAATGTTTTGATTAAATAAAAAAAGCAGGTCTTGACTTCGAATATTTTTGAAAGTATAAATTATGAAATAAATATTTTCTAAAAATCAATTGAATACTTCAGAGTAGTCAGTATCCAAAATACAATAATTGTAATTTTAATTTTACGTATCATAATCTATCATAATGAAGAAAAGTGAAAAAGGTAAATTACTTAAAAATGCTAGTCATGTTCCTCGTTTGAGTCGCATTAGTCGTCGAACTATAGAAAAGCCCGAAGATAACCTTTCATCAAGTTCTAGTTTATTTGACAGCGACAGGAATTCCGTTGAGTCCGATAGGCATAAATATGCTTACTTTCTATCTTCTGCTACTGAAAAGTTATATTCATTATCGGATATTGAAAGGGATTCTGATGAGAGTGACTCCTTGTCGTCTAATGCTGCGCGCGCTATGGAGGAAATGAATTTAGAACTGCCAGCTGTGCCAGACTTTTTTGAAGTTCTCGGCACAGCTATAAGTTTAAGCGATCTAACTATTGAGACGAGTGAGGAAATAAAATTAGACCAGTTGAAGTCAGTCAAACTTTCAGGTGAAACTGCAGGAACATTTGTGGATCCTTTAACAGGTCAAAAACTATCGAGCTCATCATCCATAGAAACCACAGAAGAAGAAGCTGTAGTTGCAACTGTCAAAGAAGAGTCTTCTGATGGTGGTCCTATTTTTTTTGATGTCAAATTACCAGATCTACCAATCGATAAGAGCGCTTTAAAAAAGAAAAAATATGACGATGAAATGGAAGACGAACTTGACATTTTTTTTGAACCAGTCAAAGACCGGGAAACCGTGCAATTTGATTTTGAAGCCTTAGAACGTGAGGAAGCCGCAGTTGTACTGGAAAGAAGTATTAAACAAATGTTGATATCCATTGTAAATAATGTGGTTGCAAAAAGCGAATATATAGATCGAAGAACATTATTAAATAATGCATTAGATAAAGCTGAATTAATGCGGTTACTTGAGGAAAAGCTTAACATTTTAAATCAAGAAAGGTCAATTAATCGATTTCTGAATGTAAAATGTTATGTTCATTTCCATCAGAAAGGAATGAAACGTTTCTTAATTCCGGATAAAAAAGGTTCAAAGAGAAGGAAAAAATATTATGAGAAATTAAAATTTTTGGATCAGTTAATGTACCAAAAAAAAACTTTATCAGAACTATTGGCCAATAAAATATCTAAAACTCTTGAAGCTTTGCAAGAATTAGAAGAAAGAGTAACAGATGCACAAGAAAGTTTTGACGAGTTGGTTCTTCAAACTTTGACAAAAGGCAGATCGGAAAATTTTACACGCGTAAATATAATAAATTTAAATATTGTTCAAACATATGAAGCTTATCTAATTTATTGTAGATTGTAGAAGAGCAGCTTGCAATTATGAGGACGGATTTGAAAGAACTGTCTGCTCTACGTGTGAAACTTATACTTATACAGCACGCTCATGTCGTTCTTAAAAATGTAAGAATAAATTCACAATCGACAAAATGAAGTGAAATTACTTAAAATGTACTCTTAAAATGTGCATTCACTAACAACCCTGACTTTAAGTTTTATCGTATTTAAAGACATTCACAATATATGTAAAGTGTGAATGTACATATATATCACGTATATATGTAATCGATGTAATGATGCAATAACTATTATTTTTAATTGTACAGTAACGCTCTTACTGTAATTAAAACCCATATATCTAAATAGATATCAAATTTTCCTACACATCATTTAACATTTACTTGATTCAATTTTTTAGAAAAAAACAATTTTTGTAATTTTTATTATTTTGTTAGCGATTAACGAAAGCAAATGATATTGGCGGAGGTATCACCATTGATGACTTGGAGCGTATAGAAGCTGAAATTCAAACAATGGATAAAAAATTCGAAGGTCTGTTTTTCATATTTGTCATTGTAACTGCACTCATTGACTATATTAAAATGTTATTTCAAATTTATTAGCAATGGGCACTGAACTGCAAATCTTACAACACACATTTAACAAAGTTCAGCATTCGAGAGCTCACTTAAGTGAAAAGATAAGAATACAAGAGATTTTAGTTGGAGAAAAGGAAGGTGTTTTCGATAAAATTATAGATCAGCGCGAAGCATTAAAAGCGGATGTAAATGAGTTAACAGAGGAACACAATATGATTTTCAGAGAAATGCAAGAAGTAATAGACACATCGGGTATTCTCTGCAAACCATTACTTTTGCAGGACTATGATAACGTTACGGAGAAACTAGCCAACGTAAAAGCTAAAAAAGAAGAATATAAAAGAGAATATACTCAAATGTTGAAAGATATTGAAGAAGCGGAGGCAAAATGCCAACCACCAGATGATCTTTATGATATGTAATGAATCATGATTAATGGATACTTATATATACACTTTTTCGGAAAGATAAATGTCACAAATCACAAAATATTTATTTTTATAAAACTTTTATTTTATACAAATACAATGAATTTTTTTTAAAAAAAAAACTGTTGTTAATCTTATCCTTCGGTAATATTTTTCACTTTCATAGTAAACAAAATAGTATTTACAATTCGAAGTAAATGGTCTAAAATCATTGTAATTGCAAATAAGTATTGCAAGTCGCATTACTTTATAAAAATAAAATACATAGATTTGCATTTACTTCACTTGCATAACTGGTAGGTACCCCTAGTGATAAATTTATAGAACCACAAAGGTCAGTCAAATCAATTGGTTTTTTATTTCCTATTATATCCGAGAACTCAGATGCAACGGATATCAGCTATGAGATCAGATAATCGCATGTCATTCTATACAGACAATTTGAGAATTCATCTAGCATCCAGCTAGGTTCATATATACGTTCGAGACAGATGATTGCCGCTTTCAGTTGAGTATTGGTGTTATAAGCGAAACTTTTAATATAAAGTGACCTATTATAATGCCAACATATGCTTTCTTATTAATTCTACTGAGTTTTAAAATATTAGAGGTCATATCCACAGCTGGCCACCAAACTGCTGCACTAATAAAGAGTATTGGACAAGTCCCCGATATGTTGACAAATATGCTTTTGTGGAAATAAAAAGTTACATATGACTTCTTGAAGTAAAGCTCGATATAGGAATTTTAATTTAGTTCACTTGTCAGTAAAACTTCTAAGAATTAGGCATTTTCTAAAATTTTTAAATTACTGCAAGCTGGAATTTTAGCTTTAGTGAACTGATGAACCTCATAATTTAAGTCGTTCCTACATGAATACTTATATTACGTTTTCATTGTGAGATTAAGAGAACGAGTTTAAGTTAATCTGCTCACAATGTAAATGTTATATTAGTATAGAGCCTTTAGACTCAAGTACTCATCATAACAAAGAACTTTTTCATAATACCAATTACTAAGATAGGGAATATTTCTAAAAACAGAATAACCAGATCATCTGCATTCATTGCTGCTTTTACGCTTACCCTCCCATTTAGTATGTTGTCCACGAGTAGCTGCCACAATAGTGGTAAAATAATTTTCCTCTCTTCCTTTTAGTGTGCCTCTGTTTCCATGCTTGGTTACAATTGTGGCAATTAATTTTATCCTAATAGTCGTTGTTTTCGGCATTGTAACCGATACATTAATATCAAATAGTTTCATGAGAGATTGATGAAACATTTTTGCCGAAAAGTCAAGCAATAACAATATGTTATAAAGAGAAGTGGGACGGATCTATCTAGGGCAACGGCCGTTATAA